TAGCTATGGTTTTGTATGTCATGCAGCACAGTCATTATATAGCATCTTTCTTTACAGCTTTTGACAAACACAATTCTGACTAAACCAATATACCATAATTCAGCTGCAGGGGGTGGAAATTATCCTTAAAGTACCACAGCAACCTTTACCCAAAGGAAGGAGAAAGCTGATAGTTGTTTGGTTGCTGCATTGCTTGAAACAACTTAACAGTATAGGTAGAAACATGTGAGGAATCTGTTTTGTGCAGAAAATCTGATTCCCTGCTTTCAGCAGCCCAGTGCCCAGGTTCCTGGCAAGCATGCCCAGTCTTCATGGGGCACACGTGAGAAATCACACCCCATGCACTGCACAAGCAGCACCATTCTTCCACATCAGCTACTACTATCATCAGCATTGAGTGCGGAAGAAGGGCGGTGTGAGCCAGGCATCCCTTCCCAATGAAGGCAATCACTCCAATAGTTGCTAAGAGAGTCTTTATTCCATACAACTACAAGGTATTTACAACCTCTGAAAACACACTCAAGGTAGAAAGTTGACCTCTCGCTCTGACCTATGTCACCACAAACTTTGCTTATGAACCCTTCAGGGCCGGTCTCCGGAGGGAGATGCACTCTGGACATGCGCTCGCCACCACACCTCCAACATTTCTAATTGCCCCAGCCCGCTGGTGCGTCTGCACGACCGAGCTTCCCAAACTCCCAAAGAACCTTCCCCAGCCTGTTCTTTATTGGCTTCTTTCCCACAATCAGGAATGGGAGGAGGCTCCATGGTTCTCCTTGAAGTGCTTTGATCCTGCACTGTCTCAGACCCTCACTGGTCTCAACAACTCCAATATCCTAGTGAGAACTCCAAGCCACTGCTGGGACAATTATCAACTCCTCATCTTCTGAGCCTAGGCCATCATCCCAACCAGAGCGCTCAATCTCTCGTGCGAGACTGGGAATCTCATCCGAGCATGCGTGTCAGTGCACCTGCCCGCTGCACCCTTCTTTTGCATCCCACAGCCACTCCTGATGGAGAAGTTTGCAGGCTGTGCCACTGGGATTCTACAAGTGTTCACAGACTTCCTCCTGACTCGATTTACTTTGCAGGACTAGCCAAGAATTAAGAAGAATTCTGCAGATTCTGGACAGATTCCGAAAGGGTCTATTCCAAAGCTAAGTACAGGGCTAAAATGACAAGCCCCTACTATCATTTTCAGTTAAGAAGCTAGAAAGGATGGAACAGGTGCTCTAACAGTGATAGAACATTCACAAAACTGTGCACCATGCAGTGCAACAATCCGTCATTCTTTCCATTTTTCCAATAGACAAAGTCCTGATAGCAGATTTCAACTTAGCTGCATACCCAGCCAAAATATTTGAATCCCTGAAATAGTGGCAATGTTCTCCATATAAAACAAAGGCTGTACCTCAGAAGTAGAGAGCTTGCTCTGCATAAAGAAAGTCTCCACACAAGATTTGAAGGGGCTCATCTGAATCCTTGGAAAGCTGCTACCACTCAAGTAGACCAGCCTTATCTAATCAAGTGATCTCCATATGTATTGTACTACAACTCCCATCATCTCCAGTTGGAATGGCCAAAGGCTATGGTTTGGCATGACATACAGAAACAGTAATAAGCTACAATAAGGTCTGGACTTGTGTGCTCCATTCATCTGTCCTTCTCCCACAGAGCAAAGAGCAAAACTTTGGCTACTTTTACTTTATATTTTAGTTAACCCTGGATTGTCTTTCAGTCTAGAAAACAAATTATAGTTAATGTTAATATGGTTAGTTTCAAACAAACCAACTTCAAACTGCATTTCTAAACTAGTTGCTGAAAATAGCCAGAGTTCCTAATTCAGATGTCTGCATCTACTGGGCACCACAGCATCTGTTTAATAAGGAGGTTTGTCTATATCAGCTAATGGCTAGAGGTGTAATTCAGCTAATGCTTTGGTAATTCCCAGTGGTTGCCTCTTTTGAGAGGAGACTGTTATATGGATAAACCTTATACAGGAAAAATGTTTAATATTTTCTAATGTAAAACTTTAGAAAACATCCTCTGAAATTTTCCTGACAGTTACAAATGATTGAGAGAAATGGATTGCCTGTGTTATTTTGACTTTTCAAAGATATGGTACAACACTGAAATGATAAGCACTCACCTGCTATAATGCAATGATAGAGGTCAATGCTTTCAACATTTGAACTGGTGCTATACAGATGCCACTTGCAAATGAATATTTATTATAAAATATCTGGTCAACTTTTGAAGGTTTTTTTTGTAATTCTTAGAAAACCATATTTTCACAAACATTTCAGAAGCATGCATTGATATAGCTACATTGCTTTGTTTTCTTATTTCTTTCACTTAATTTTGCAATAAAAATTTAACTTAAAAATATAAGGCAGCTTCCATATCCCTGCACTCCTCATATATATGGAAGCTTTGCCATTTCCAAGGTACTTGAAAAGTCAATGAAAGCTTGGGGAAAAGAAAAATGATGCTTTTAAATGGGTCTCTGGAATCAGGGAGGTATTAGAATAATTTCCTCTGCGCTCAGAAGAAGGGCAGGGACTCTTTTTAATTTTGCACTTCTCATGAAGCCTATTACATAATTTAACTCCAAAACCAAGTCTTCATAATGTCTTCCAAACTGTGTATCACCAACATAACTATTTTAAAAAAAACCCTTAACCACCTTAAACATCTGAGTGAGGTGGCATAACTTAGCATCCAGAAACAGCAGGGAGTTGTGCTAGATGGCCTTCTAGCCCCTTCCAACACTACTACTCTAGGATTCTATGATCTGCCTTAGAATCCCTGGAAATTGAAAGGAGCACACACCATTTATGTTCATATAGAGCCAAAAAAGTTTTAAAAACCAAAGGTCTAGAAGCAGATTTAAATAGTATCTGTTTGACCTAATGAGCACTGGCCAAGCCTGTGGAGGCTTCAGTTGTCCCATATTTAATTGAACAAGCACTCTAAAAATGCTCTGCAAATACTCCCGATTTGTATTGTTGAAGTTAATTAATGATAGTGAGCCAGCCTCTCCACCATTATTAGGTTCCTTGTTGAGAGACCAAGGAACTCCAATGCTCCACAATAAGTCAGTAGAGCAAACACTGTATTGAGCTACATAACAGACTGAGTAAACAAGAGAACTCTATAACAGTATGAAAGTATCTTCCTAATAGTTTCATTAGTGCAAACCTAAACAAGTAGAAACAAATGTGTTTTTTTACAGAACATGTGAAAATCATGACTGATGCAAGATTATTTTCATACGGGGATAACTGAAAGAACAAGTGTCTAACCTGTACTTTTCCAGAATTCTGAAAAGATCATGATAAATCATTTCCAGAATTAAAACTACATTTTCCTGGTAAGCACTACTTCACTTGTTCTGCTTTGCTGGGCATCTTCATCCATCTTACCCTAGAATGGATAGGATAACCTTCCTCCCACTTGCCTCTCTAGCAAAAACAGTGCAGTCAAGTACCTTGTCACCTATCCATACAAAGATCATAATGCACAAAGCAACTGTTCACCCATCCTATGCAAAGTATCTCACGCTTTCTACAAGACTATACACTCTTATCAACCTTCTCCCCAACAACTCTCATCCTAGACAGTATCAGCAGCCACACCTATATGCCCTTCTCCAGATTGCCTATGTAATACTTTAACCATATATGCCCAGCCGCCCCGAGATCAGTGGGAGAGGCCCTCCTCTGGGAGCCCTCAGTGAAGGAAATTAGGAGGGTGGTTACTCGGAGGAGGGCTTTCTCAGTGGTGGTGCCTAAGTTATGGAATGCGCTCCCCAGAGAGGTCCGCCTGGCACCATCGTTATTTGTTTTTCGGCGCCAGGCGAAGACCTTTTTATTTAAGCAGCATTTAAAATGTTAATATCATTGAATTTTATTTGGCCAGGGCGGCTTATTTTATTCCAATGTATATATTTTAATTGTTATTGTTTTAATTTATTGTGTATTTTATTATGTTGTGAGCCGCCCCGAGGCTACGGCAAGGGGCGGCATAGAAATGTTTTAATAAATAATAAATAAATAAATAAATCAGTCAGCTTCATTCTTCACTGAACTAAGTGATCAGCTTGATCTTTCTGGATATCACACAATCCTTAGGAAGAGTGGTTGTAAGCTTCTTGTGTTTTTTCTTCCCTTGCATGAACAAGGGTTGGGCCACTTATGTAAGTTTTCCAGTGCCTTTAAGTTTCCTGTTTCCTTGAAAATGGAATCCATCATATCCTACAATTCAACTGTCTTCTCACTGATTCAGTGTTTAGAAGCATTAAAACTTGCTCCCAAAGTCCACCAGCCTTACTCTTATTATAGGAATGCGACACTAATTACCTATGTTAATCCTCCAAACCCTGGCACAGCAAATCACAGGATACTCCATGGTAAAGATGCAGTCCACACAATGCAAAAGCAGTGCTACATTGCTACCATGACGGGAGAAAGAAGAAAGTGGATGATGAAGCACAGTTTCCCTATGAACAGAAAACCACAAACTTCCCCGCTGACTTTTTCTCTAACATATTTTGCATTACTCAAACAATGGTTCAAGGGGGGGGGGGCAATTAGATGAGACCTGTAACAAACACCCGTATCTTTAACCTTGGCAGCCCTCACTTATCACCCAGAAAACGAAATGCTGAGCCGTCAAGTGGATACGTTAGTACTTGGCCTTCTCTTCCGAAAAACCTGCTGCCCAGCACTTCCCGGAAACTTCCTCGTCCCCACTCCAGGTGAGCCCTCGCCTCCGCGCCTTCCCCGAGCCGGTCCACCCAGCGCTCCCTCCTCGCTCCCGCCGCCCACCTGAGAACGCGTCCAGCATCTCCGCCCGCGCTCCCCGCAGCAGGTGCGCCTCCTTCCCGCCGCCCCTACAGCGCAACTCCCTCACACAGGCCAGACCAGCAGCCCCGCCGCGGACACGTCCAGCCGCCCCAGTTTTTCCCCAGGCGAGCTGCTGCCGCCCCCTCGACTCACCCGGACGGAGCTGGAGGCTGCCGTCGGCGCGGCTACACCAGAGCGCCCATTCTCCTTGCTGCAGGATGTAGTGGTCCTTGGCTTGGAAGAGCTCCATGCTCGGCGAGGGGGACGGAGGACGCAAAGGTGAGCAGAGGAGGAAGCGTAGGCGGACGCAGGGAGGGATGAAATGCAAGGGAGGAGGGCGACCGCGCCTCGATCAGCCACCTGCCCCCCCGCCCCGCTTTCCACGCCGGCGGCAACAAGCGCCCAGCCCTTCCAGCGGCGGCGCGGGGAAGAAAGGCGGGAGCGCGCACAAAACCGGCGCGCGACATCCGCCGCCTCTGCCCGCCTTCTCCGGCTACGGTCGCTGTTGTTGGCGCTCCTCGAGCCGGACGGGTTCCGGCGCGCGCGACCCACCGGGCACGTGACGTCAGGCTGCTCGCTCACTCCGCTTGCGTTCTTTAAAGAGACAGCGCTACCCCGACTGGCGGCCAGTCTCATGTTTACAAGCGGAACAGAACGAGCTGGAAGAAAAAGACGTGCATACCTGTGGAAAGAAACGAGGGGAACGCGCCTATGTGCATTCCGTATGCATGCGTGAGGAAGCCTCGGTTCGTCAGAAAGGCTAACCTCATCCTGCACGGAAACCCTGCAGTACACACCTGCTCCCTCTCCTCTCCGCCTTTGCTCTGCCGGCACTGTGTTTTTGAGACGCTGTTCTTCTTAGAGCAGGGGAGACCTGGCCTAATCTGACACTCAAAGCTGCACTCAGCTTTAAATCTCACTCTCTGCCTAGACTACCTCACAGGGTTGTTGTGAAAATAGCATGAATGGGTGGGTGAGAAAACCATATATAGAAACACAGAAAGCGAATCAGAAGGGGTCTGTCTCCTGGGCCATCTAGTCTGACCCCAGCTCCAGCTGACTCTGCTCATGTTATCCCCAACATGTTGTTGTCCAAATTTTCCTCGTTGATGGGGCCTCCACCACCTCTCTTGGAAGCCCATTCCATATTCTAGGAGTTCTAACCAATGCTCCCTTGAATTCCTTGCAGGAAAGTAGGAAGTAAAACAATATTCACTGCTGGATTTAAATCCTAGTCCTGGATTGCTTAGCACATTCCCAGTCCCCAATTTGCACCAAGCAACAGATATTCCCAGTCACTGTGTCTCTAAATATGGCAGATTTCATTTGGCTATCGTAATAATAGCTAATAAGCCTGTCCCCCATTAATATCCTCTTAAAGCGGAAGCAAGGCAGCCATCTGTCAGGGGTGCAGTAGATTCATCATATATTACTGATCACTTCCAATTTTTTAATCTTAGCCAGCTCCTTGGAGCAGGGTAGGTCTGTCTTTTTCCTTTTTCTTCACCTAAGTAAATAATAACTACATCCCACCAAACTAGGTCATCTTCCAGGCACAGAACTGAATCCTTGATTAATACTATAGTACAAGAGATGCTGCTAACTGCAAGGAAATACCAAATTACAAGACAAGAGAATATTGGATATGGAAGATCCAACAACTAGAGGGTGAACAAATAAGGAGACAAGTCAACCGAACAAAAATAAAGGTCAAGTCTACTGAAATTATTTGTTCCTTCAGTATGCGAAGGATGAAAAATGAAGCACAAATCAGGTTATGTATCTGTTGAAAGTTTAGCAAAAAAAAAAAAAAAGAGAAAGGTGTACAAATGCATCATTAAAACAGCCATTTATATGGATGAAGTTACAACAGTAGCCAAAAGTTCAACCCTTCAACCAAGTGCAGGGCTCAGAATTTAGAAAAGAAGAGTAAGATTTAGCACTTCTTTTTCATCCTTATCTCAAACCTTCCTTAAAAATGTGTGTTAGTGATAACAGTTGCACGCTCAACAGCAAGCTTCAGACTGAGATATGCAACTCCATGGTATCAACATGTAGGCCATAAAAATTCCCATCAATGCACTGGTGGTTATTTTAGAAATGTGCAGGAGAGGGCATTTTATTTTAACCAACTTCATGACTGAAACTGGGCATAGAGTCACAGTCAGGTCTCAAATAATAATCAAATAATCGTTGTGTTGTCAAGAAATTTTCTAATTACCAGTATTTGCAGTACAAACACAAGCTTCTTTTAAAAAAACTCAGTCTCCTTCCTTGTTTAGATCTGTCCTTTTTATTTTTTAAACCATTCTCAATATGATAGAAAGGAATTTGCTTTGAAAAGAAATTCAGAAAGTGAAAACAAAACTTTCATGGGTTGAGTTTGAGGTTCTTGTGCTTATCTTACTTATGCAGTAACCAAGGAATGTGCACAGATATGTCCTTTTGCTTTCCAGTCATCTCTGATAGTCTCCTCAGCTTCCTGCACTTCTCATAGATGCCAAGAGAGAGATCATGAGGTCTTTCTGCCCATAGTGCTTTTTCAGAGCAAGAAGTTTGGGAAGCTACAGTGCAATAGGAAAGAAACACACACACAGCACTCTCGGCCACCTCACTGTGGTTAGGTAAGTTCAAATGCACCTCCAAAATACATTCAGAATAAATTCGAACATGCACAGAAGAGACAGAAGAATGGTAGGCTCCTCCCTGGGGGGGGGGACTTCCTGAAAAGGGAGGATGTCCACCATTTATTTCTAGGGGCGGGGGAGAATTCTGAGTGGATATTTGCTCTAATTTTTGTGGTGTTATCTTAAAGCTTAGAGTTCATGGATTTTTAATTACTGGGTAATTTAATTTGATGTAAGTCATTTAAATCTTCCAGTTTCACATTCACAACTGCAGAGTGCATGTGGAAGTTCTAATTTTGGATTTTCAACAATGCTGCAATCTAAACACCCTGAGTGTCACTGAAACCATCATGGATGTATCCAACTATTGCTTTTCCTCTGCAGGAAGCACTTCCACATACACAGGTCAGACCAGCCCTACGGCAGACCTCTGCGATATACACCAAAATGTCTCATTAGTCAGAGCAGTCTTTCAAGAGGGATGGAAGGCTAAATGGGTAGACGGAGTCAACCAGAACAGGTGAGTGGAAGCACTTTCTGCTTAAAGAAAGCCATCACTGGATACAACCAATAATGGTTTAAATGGTTTACACTCTGCATGTAGTGTTTGTTTACCTCTCTTGTTTATATCTCCTTGTTTATTCCACTTTGCATTGTTGAAACTAGTCCTTCTCTCCCACCAAAAAACCCCACATCCTTAGACAATAATTGTATGGCATGAAGATGTCAATCTAATTTATAATCTTTGCACTCACAATATCTAATATAATAATACCATGACATGTGGAACCTCCCACCCCTTAATGTGGTGAGGGGGTTTGAGAGTGCCATGCTCATTTCATCTGGTCCTCCAGCAGTCCAAGACAGAATGGTCAAAGCTGAGACACTAGACTAAAATGCATCCACCCTCTTAAGCATTAATTCAAGGGAAGAGCATGGATATCAGCCAGGTTCCTATAGAACTATTTCAGGCTGCAGAGACTGAATCAGTCCAAATCCTAACAAGACTATGCCAATAAATATGGAAAACCAAACACTGGCTATTGACTGGAGACATTCAATTTACATTCCAGTTCCCAAGGAAGGAAAAGCAAAAGATTGCAGCAATCATAGAACTATTGTGCTAATTTCCTAAGCAAGCAAAGTGGTGGTGATACTCAAGGTGTTGCAACCAAGAATTTTACTCTATATGGAATGAGAAATGCCTGATGTTCAAGCTGGATTCTGAAAGGTTTGAGGCACTCATGATCACATAGCAAATATACATTGGCTACCAGAGTTCACCAATGAATTTCAGAAGGTCAATCTGTGCTTCATAAAGTACAGCAAAGCCTTTCATTGTGTGGTTCATGCTAATGTCAGGTTACAATATGGAGAAATAGAATGGTGCCTGTGCAGAATATGGGATTGTAAAGGAACTCATTGCACAAATTTAAGGATTTGTGACACATAATCTGAACTATAAGAAGGGTTATCAAATATTAACGGTGAGCCATATCCAGAAATCATCTAGGGGTTGGATATGCAAAATGGAGGCTGTATGCACCCCACTTTTGCAGTTGTCGTGTCATAACTAGCCCAATATACCTAAGTTGTTATTTTTTTAGTTCCTATTTAAGGATTTAATATAACTGTGTCATGAAATGTGGTTTCAGCCTAGTGTTGACATGGTTATACTATGGCCTTACCAACTTATGGCCAAAATAACACCCACATTGGGTGGGTGTGATTGGATCTTCCTGCCAAAAGTTGCTGCTTTCTGTGTCTGTTTTCAAAGTGGTAAGTGTTATACAGCAAAAGCCTGTACATTTTTAAAATTATGTGGTTAGTAAAAGATTGTGGGCATTCTTGTAAGTTTTAGAAAACCAATAATGTGGCAGTATCTCTCAGAAAGATCATGACTATGATTTCCGCATTATATTCTCCAAAGGGAGTTGCTTAAACAGCATTGTTCAAATGATAAAGACAAATTTCCTGATCTGTTGATAAGTGGCAAGGATTTAGTGAAGGATAGCCAAACTGCAGGCAGCTGTTGGCAAACTGAGGGCATGCAAGTAAGGGAGCTTTTAAGGTGCTAGATAAGCCTTACAAATACCTGCAAATAAATGTATGTTGGCAGTTGGAAATATACATATGCTAACTCTGATAAGATTCTGGAGAAACTCACATTTAGGCTGATGAAGAATATTCAGTTGTAGCATTTGGTTCCCCATAACAGACAAACATATCTTTGTTAGTTTGACTTTCATCCACCACTTAACAGTACACTGTTAGCTTAGGATAAAAAGACAGGATGGGAAGGCAGAGGCATAGGTTTGCAGATGAACAGCAATCAGTGTATTTTTTCATTAAAAAGAGAGATCATACTGGGAGACAAGCAACTGTGCTGATGAACCTCTGATACTTGCCTAAGATCACATATCCTAATCTCTTTGAGTAGTTAGGCATTTATTACTTTCCTGGCTTTTATCACTCAAGGATAGCACCTATCTGCTTTTTAAAGATCATTAATGCATGCTTAGACTAAAAGAGAGTTTGCAGCTCCCAATACAGAATTATGCCCTGAGTAAGTTTTGAGCTAGGATAGCTCTCCTGTAGTTTGCCCGCTACAACACGTTTTTGTCATCTTCCATTTTAGAATCCTTTTCATTAACTGTGGAACAGGGGAATCACAGGCTTAGGGATTCTCCAGGTGGCTGTACCTCATTCCCCCATCCATCAATAATTTGGTTTTTTCCAGGGGTTTTGTGCAGCTTTTACCCTTTTCTAAAAGTCTGGAATGATCTTTGTAAGGCTTAGTTACTATCTTAGTTAATTGGTAAGAACTATTATGCCTAAAATGTGGGTATTTTGGTGCCCAGCCCCTTATGCCATTAGCTCCCGTGAGTTTCTTCAAAATGGAAATCAGCTCTTGGCCTAAGAGAGGTTCTGCACCATGCATTAAAGACACGCTATGGCTTAGATCCTAAACTCAATTAATTTAGGATGCATACTTAGCATGCTAAGTGTTGTAGCATTTTTTCCTATCTGAAGATGCATTGAATTGCATTGTAAGCCAATCCATCTATCTAGTCTAAGAAAAAAGCAATATTCTCAACTGACAATCAGGCACATAGAGAGATTTGGCCGAGCATTCCAGGGCATACAGGTTTTATCTCTGAACCATGCTTCCAAAATTTAACCAAACCAAGTTTTGATACTCTTCTTGGGGAAATTCAGATAAATCCTGGTAGAAAAAGGCTGCTTATATGTGCCCTTGTGTCATAAAATCAAACCTGCAATATCTCTGTGCCTCTTTCTAAGAAAGTACCAGAATCCCAAGGCAGGCTTCTGTTCAGTGTTATTTTCAAAGCTGTTCCTTTCAGAGATGGCTACCTCCTTTGGTTGGAAAAGCCTTTCCAGAATGGGGCTGCCAAGGAAAGTTAACCCCTGGTTGTCCTTGGGCTAAGGGCAAACAGAAATTGATAAGGCAGCCAGACAAGTTTTTCTATCAGTATTGCAATCACCCTCGTTTGCATGCCAGGACCCAAAATAATCCCTCTGCCTCAGTAATCATCTCTTGTAATCAATACTATTGCATTAAGTCTCCTCTGCAGAGCTCTCACATTCTTTTCACTGTGTTCCCCTTATTTTGTGATCACCTACCAGTTGTTATGATATGTGACTCAGAACCTATAAAACACTCAATATATGTTCTGGAAGCTTGTAGTTAGTCTGGCCTCTACCTGACAGCGCTTTTGTAAGTATGGGTTTCTCTGCAGAGGGTGCCTGACTGATCTCTCAATAAACTGCTGAAGTTCAAGATGAAAGGGGTCTTCCCTACCAAATCCATTTATTCATTCTCACAGTGGCTATCAAAATGCCCTGGCCATGTTTTTTAATACTTTTAATAATCAAAACAAGAGTTATATTTACCTTCAATATTTCTTTTGATAGAAGCACCTCACAACATTAGTGTCTTCTATAGACTTCTTATTTTGTTGTTATGGTTTAAACTGGTTTCGGCACTAACCCATCAAGATACGGAATGGATTGGCACCTTTTGGATAGAGGTTGTTTTCATTTTGTTTGCTGGCATGGCTTCTCTGACTCACAGAGAAAAAACAAGTAGAGCTTTTGTTCCTCTACAGTGGAAATTTCCAAATGGCATGGGCTACCCTGGTATATCATGAGAAGTATTAAAACAATCCAAAGTCGAGTTTGGGAGGGATAAAGAGTAGATGTTCCATCCTGTTGCCAGTCGGGGGTGGGGGGGAAGCAGCTGACTGTTCAGAAAGCTTTTTGCATAGGAAGTGGAAATAGGGGATTTCTTTGCTTCATGCAACAGAATGTGTCGGGCCAGGCCTGCCCAGCTACAAATTCTAAGGAGATGGCTAGCTGTAGCTTTTGGTCCACTGAGTTCTCAGTGGGCAGAACATGGTATTCCATGACATAATTGTCCCAATTCCTGTCCCTTTAGCAGCAGGCTGAAATACAGGAAAGCTTCACCTGCCAAATTGCAATGTTTCCAGCTGGAATAAGAATAGAGCAAGTTTAAGAAAAAGAAAGATGCATTGCTTTGGTTGTTGTGCTGTCTGAACCCAGCCTGCTGCCACCTTGGAAATCTATGGGCCCACCATGGGTTATTGTATCATCCAAAGACAAATTCCAATATAGGTAAAGTCCAGTGCTTGCTGAACAAGTCAACATCAGGAAACAAAACAAGACCATTTGCTGCTCTTGGTGATAATGGCTTGTGCCCCTGGCAGTGCCAGTCCCTTCAGAGTATGCTGGCAGCACATTTGAACAGCTGTCACTGATTGACCACCCCTCTTAAAAGGAAGGAAGAAAAAAAGGCAAAGCATCTCAAATATGGGCAATCTGTTTTGGTAAATATTTTTTCCATATGTAATCAGACTTGTGTGAGGGGCTTACTTCTGTGTTGACCCAAACAGGATTGCATGATCAGTCTTGCTGCTGTTTTATCCTGATGAAAGCTATGCTTTCTTCTTTTTTACTATGTTTATAATGCCATTTTTCAGTGGTGCTATGATCCTTCTATGGTAGAAGAAGAACAGTAGAAATTGCTATGTAAATTGTAAATAAGAAATACATTATAGGGAAAAATCACTTGTTATCTATTGTATGTCCCGTTCCCCTCACAGAAGCAGAGACAGTAAAGGAAAGTGAGTAATTCTACTGAAAACTGAACCTGAACATTGGTCCTTTTCTCACATCATATATCATGATCAAGTATAACCTTTGCCATTTTTGTCACAGTATAATTCTGAGGGTCACAAGAATAGGCCCTCATGGCGCTCACAAAATCTATGGAACAAATTCTATTGTGTGAATTCAGTAAACAGACTGTAAAATAGCTGTTAGATGGTGTACAGATGGCTACATTCATGCTATGAATTTACAGAGGAACAAGTGATCCACCCCTAGATTGCTTTCCAGTCCCTAAAAGTGCCTGGCTTACCTCTGTGGAGGTTCATTGGGCACCATGCACATTATGAAGAAAGCACTTGGTAATCACAC